TGCCCTAAGGACCCCACTGTGAACAGAATACATAGTTCTTATCCTTGTGGAATTTATGTTCTCATGATGAAAGACAGACACAGACATGCAAAGAATATATAGCACATCAACTGATGAACTTCATGCTCTTGTATTTGTTAGCTTTCTCATTGCTGTGACCAAAACACTTAGGAGAACAAGTTAAGAAGGAAAGATTTATTTTAGCTCATGCTTTCACAGGTTTCAGTCCATGGTCGATTGTAGGCCCATGGTGAGACAGAATGTCATGGATGTGGGAGAACGTGGAAGAGGAGACTGTTTACCTCATGGCAGACAGAAAGCAGAGAGCAGGTATCACCTTCAAAGGTATGCCCCAGGGACCTACCTCCTCCAACTCAGTCCCACCCCCTGAAGTTCCCAGAACCTACCAAAACAGTGCCACTTGCTAGGGACCAAGCATTTAATACCCAAGCCTTCAGGGGACATTTCACACTCAAACCATAATATTTTCCCCCTGGGACCCAAAGGCCTGTGGTCATCTCATAATGCAAATGCATTTCGTCCAACCCTAAGGGCCCCCAAAGTCTTAGCAGTTCCAACATCATTCTAAAGCCCAGGTTCAGTGTGTCTCTGACTCTCAAGGCAACTTTCAGCTGTGAGTGCCTGTAAATAAAAAAAGTTGCAAAACTCCCACTGCACAATGGCACAGAGTAAGCAGCCCCATTCCACAAGGAAAGAATAGTAGACTCCAAGGAAGGATTAGACCAACCAAGCCTGGAGCCCAGCAAAGAAAACACTAAACCCATAGCAAAAAAGTGAACGTTTTAGCAATCTTTCTGCTCTGCTTTTTGTTCCTGGTTCTCACTGGAAGTCTAGCTAAAATCAGCTAGCAATATCTTGCCACTGCCTGAAAGCTGGGCAGTCTTTAAACCTCCTCCACCAGGTTCATTTGCCCATTACTTTTAAATTCAGCCTCCCATAAAGTCTCAGGACAGGGACAAAATGTAGATAAGTTCTTTGCTAAAATGGAACGTTAATGGCCCTAAACATATTCCCTGTAGAGTCCTGGTTCCCATCTGAAACTTCGTGAGCTCAGTCTTTTCTGTCTGCATTTCTGTTAGCATTATGTCTTCTAAACTCACACAAGAATTGCCCTGTACACTCTGCTTACAGCATTCTGTGACTTCTTTAGCCTTCATCTCCAAATTTTTCCAAATTTCTCTCACAAACCAGTTCCAAAGACTTAACTACATGATCAGGTTTATCATAGCAATAACCCCACATCTCTGGTACCAATTTTATGTGTTAGATTTCTCGTTGCTATGCCCAGAATACCTTGGAGAACAATTTAGGGAGGGAGCATGTGGAGGAGGGGGATATTCACCTTATGGCTGACAGGAAGCAGAGAGTGAGGAAGAGACTGGGGACTGGGTATCACCTTCAAAGTCATGTCGCCCAATGACCTTCTTCTTCCAACTAGGCCCCACCTCCTCAAGTTTTCAGAACATCCCAAAATAGTGCCACCAACTGGGGACCAAACACTTGATACATAAGCCTTTGGGGGATATTTCATATTCAAACTATAACAAATATAATGCTATTTTCCTCTAAATGTTATGATCAATGGTCAATTCAATTACCAGTGGTATCTTTCAAATAAGAGCATACCATGTATTCATTTTTTATTAATGTATCATGATATTTCTGGGAAATTTTTTCAAATTGTGACAAAAAGAAATTCTGAAGTTTCCCATTTATGAACCAAGCTTAGCACTAAACATCTATTAGTCATTTTAATCCTCCTAGAATCCTTCCAATATAAACAGAATTGTCCTCCCTTTACAGAACAGGAGAGAGAAGTTTAGGAAGGTCACAGGTTGCCTAAATACCAAACCTGTGCCTTTCATTGAAGGAAGACAAATGAGCAGCTAGTTGGCTACTCAACAATTATTCAAGAACCCATCACACACATAGCAGACACACCTCAGAAACCTAATTGTTAAAGATTTACTAAAACACCAATGGAACTAAATTCAGCTCGGATCGAACAAGGAGCAGTTCTCTATAGCAATATTGACTCTACAGTTAAAACCCTTATCTCCTTGTATTAGTGGTACATGGAAATTTAGGTTCTATTTAAATTTTCCTTTTTTTAATTTTATTATTCTTTTATTCACATGTGCGTACAATGTTTGGGGCATTTCTCCCCCCATTTAAATGTTCTAAGAAGCCTGAAGGACATCCAGATGTCACCCTTTCCTGGAGGCTGCCAACCCCCTGTCTCACATAAATTATTTTTATCATCCAATTATCCTGTATGTACTGAACTTTTCACATTTCTCTGATACAGTCTTACACTTCATTCCTTTCAGTCATTGAGTAGCTTTGATATGATCTTTTTAGATTTGAATCATTTGGATTTAAATTTAGACACAAAAATGATAGAAAGCAGATATTTGCTCTCTTGTGAAGAGAGAAAAATTAGGGAGAGAAAAGGCCTGGTGAGAAATTTCCAGAAATTCAAGCTATTATTCTGTCCGGAAGTGTCAAAGGTATTACCTACCCCTGATTCTGAAGTGAAATTTAATCATGCTAAACATAAATGACATAAGAACAAAAATTCCTATCCCTCTTCAGATTTTTGCACTTAACACTTGAAATGTTGCACTTGGGAATATTGGAACTGATTTCCACGCATTAGAATAGTGGATATTGGAACCTTCTGTAAGTACCTAGATCCCACCTTACCTACTTCCATCTGCTTCCAAAAGGGGAAAGTGCCATGCTCCTGGGGGTGTAGAGGTGAGAATACGTTCTCTCTATTGTCCCCAGAACTTTGTACCATCATTCCTCCGACTCCAGCAGCTACCTCCCTGTCTGCCTCTGCATTAGGCTGTTGGGACGAGTTTGGAATGGTGTTTGGGGAAGAAAATGGGGGAAATAAATAATTTGAGCGAGGCGTCAAGGGCTGGATACATGTTCAAGTTCGGTAGCTGCTGTAAAGGTGTATCAGGAAGGCTACAGAGGACAAGAGTGCTTTCAAATTTTGAATGACTACTACAAAATCCTTTTCATTTCCTGAGATCCAAAAGCAATCATTAGCATATATTTGTACATTCATTCACACATTAAAAGCTTTCATTAAGAGACTTTTTCTATCATTCAATCCTCAAGCAGTTTATAATTTAGTTCGCTGAATGAGTCTAATAGATCTGCGGTTTTCTTTTTCTCCTGAGGCACATGTTTTGCACATCTCACAATACATCACAAATATGATATTTATATATGCACCAAACTCTTACCTTGGGTTATTCCCTAGACCTCACAGACCATTCTGCTACAGGAATAACCTTGAATCTTGTCTAAGTGCAAAGGTAGGTCATTTACATATTCCAATGGTTTAACAGTATTAATAATCAATTATTTTAAACAGGCTTCACAAATGACTTTCAAATACTAAGTACTCCACCACTAAAAATGCATGGCCCCAGATGACAAGGGCAGTATTGAGTTCTTTCTGGGTTTAGGATATTGTTGGCATTTTTAAAAGACAAAGCTAAAAAAGAAACACCAAAGGAAAAAAAGTCTCCAATTAAAGAGAATTTATTTAGGGAAAGGGCAAAGGGTTATAATCCAGGATGCATCCTAGGGCAAAACACAGGGGCACTCTGTATCAAAGAATATCAAAGAGGGAAGGGAGGGCAAGGGAACTTTTTATTGGCAAAAGGTAGAAATTTGCATATTCTGCTTGGCTATGAAGTCCATTGGTTTTGGAGACCTGAGACAGGAGTTGGTATTAGCTCATTGGTAGAGACCCTCCTGGGAGAGCATCTGGTCTGAATCACAGAATATTTAAATTATATTAAAGATAAAGATATCTGTGTACAGGTATGAGCTGTGCAAAGTGTAGAGACTGTAAAGGACTTTCTGGTGGGGTTTTTGTAGAAAAACCAGTAAACAGTTCTTATCTTAGGCAGGTAAAACATAAGCTTCCCTCCTTCAAACTTGAATGTGTTTGAATTGGACTAGAGTGACTTCATCTTGGTATCAGTAGTTCCTCAGAACCTAAGAACAGTGGACTCTGAGTGACACCAGCAGACGCCAGGCCGTGTGTATCTTGTAACATCGAGGCGGTTAGCACAGTACCATTGACAGCCGTTTGCAGATTTAAAACAAAAAACAAAAAATCTGATGCTCCCAGCGATTAAAGAACTTGCCCAAGGTCACACAGCTAGGAAATAAGTACAACTTATTTTCAGCTTTTCTGACTCCAAAACATTTTTCTTACCATACAACACCATTTTTCCATATTACCTTAGATCAAAATCCATCTCTATCAGAGCCAGAAAGTGGACTATGACTCCAAATGAACCAGAGTTCACAGAGAATGGGGAGTTCTAGCGAAAGTTCTGGTTCATTCCAAAGCTTTCTAACGGTTATCTGCTCACTTTCCACCCTCAGTCAGCACAGTAATGCAATGTTGCCTTGATGATTCAGTCTCAGAACTGTCATTAGCAACAGTGTTGGTTCCTGGGAAATGTCGAGGTGGATGCAGAAGACACAGGTGATTGGGTTGAAAGTGTGAGGAGCCCAGGATGACTCCATTATTTCTACATTCTAATTCAGTTATATCCTAATCTCTTACCTTTTCTGTCATCAAATGAGGAATGACTCTCCAAACTGAGAGTAATCAAATATTGCAGTTGACTTGGGTTCAAGTCAATCACGTTTGCCCCACTTTTTGTAAGCAGTCAATAAACTTCATTAAAAGTAACCATTTTTCTCCTTTTTAGACTGGGTAAATGGCTAAGAATGAAGCTTCCCCTGAGTCCTGTGCATGGATCTGTTACCCCCTCATCAGGGAGAGAAAGGAGCTGTGTAATTACCATTTGAGACATGAATCACCCCTGCTTGCAAGGCCCAGACCTGTTTGACTCTATAAAAGGGGCTCCGGGTCGAAGTGCAAATGTGCACTGTCTGCTGTCCCCGGGCTGATATAATTACCTAGCCACCGGGCGGAGATGAAGGTGCTCCCTGCCTGTGGCCTCGCCGTCCTCCTCATCACAGCTCTGAAGTTGTCCACTGCAGCCCCCTCCCTATTTGCAGCTACCCCCAGGACCTGGAGGAACGACTACCACCTTGCACAGGTTTGTGAATCTGCCCAATTTCCTCTTCCTCCTCCTGACTCAGAAAACCTAAAAGGGGACCATGAGAAAATAAGCAAAAAATTATTATTTTAAAAAATCATTTTGTAAGTCCACAGAGGTCCAATTGTTGGTACCATCTAAAATCAATTCCTGATGCATATTAGGTGCACCTGTGGTTGACTGAATAAATAAAAAAATAAATGTCTATATAGATGTCTTGCTTATTACAGAACTTGAGGTGTTTTTTAAAAATAAAGACAAAACAAGTATTTGAAGAAAAATAAGAGAGAAATATAAAAACCAAAGTATGAAATTCTCACACTGGCAGCAAGCTATGAATTTGTTACTAACATTCCAGCAGTCATCAAAAAAGGATTCCCTGTGCTTGCATTTTGAAAAATGGCTCTTGTGTTCAAGGTTACCTTGTTCAGAAATTAAAGTGGACCAAGCCTTTCCTAGACACAAACCTTCTCGTCTGAGGTTCCCTAAAGTGTATCTCACACTGTCTTTTCCTCTCTTAAGATCTCTCCCATCTGACTGTTGGAAAGGATCTGATAGAAATAATTCACGGTACAATTTTTGTAAAGACTATAAATGGCACAAAATGATCCCAAATATTTCTGCACTTTAAGAGGAAGGTTGTACTCTTAATTCTTTCTGAATGGATTTCTAATGAGAGAATTTCCAACCCTGGTGAAAGTTGTGTGGAGGAGGTGCTTCTCTTGGGCCTCTCTCTCAGAAGCCTGTCTCAGGGTGACTTCCTGCCTGCCCTGGCCCCTGGGAATAGCTTGGGCTGGTGCACCATACAGCTGACTTTCACCCGTGCACACAGGCCTGTCCTTACTGATTGTTTTACTCCACTCATCCCTTCCAAATGGTCAAGTTCTCCTGCAGCACACGTTGTGAAGGTTTTCAGTCACTTCCCTGCACACAAAGAAGGAAGGTCAACTCAACAGTAGATTACCAGCTCAAGCCAGTTGAATTGAACTCCTTTGACTAGACCCCCTTGTAGGTAAACTAAATTCAAAATAACTCGGAATGCTGGGATCTATTGGAAATCAAATCTTACTGGAGCCACCCAGCTTTGAGTTCCTTATTCCCAGATGCAATTTTCTCCTATCCAGACTCATGGCACTCCGATTCAGAAACTGTAAAGGTTATGTGACCTCCCTAAGAAGGACCATGCTGAAGCCAGAGTAGGTCTGAGGTGGTGAAAGACCCCAACTCTAGTCCAGGGTTCAGGAAAACTATAGTCTACAGGCCAAAGCTGACCAAGCCATCAGATTTCATAGGCCATCAGATTCCATATTGTCTATGACTGCTTTCGTGCCGTAAGAGCAGAGACTGGTCTACAAAGTCAAAAAACTGGCTACATCCCTTTATAGAAATAATGAGCTCACTCAGTCTACCCAGGAAGCAAATCAAAAAATTTGGTGAAATCATCCTGGTTAGTCTAGCTAACCAGGAGCTAGCTAGGAGTGTTTAGAAAGAGTGCTGGGACCTTGGACTGTTGGGGAATAAGGTTCCTTACATTTTCCTCTCCAAATAAGTCAGCCCTTCTCAGTCTCTGTTATGACAGGGGCATGGAAACCATCCTCCCCTGTCACCTAGTTCTCAGCACCTTCTGCCTGCCAAAGGTCCCAGTCACCAGCTCTGAGAAGAATACTCAGTGCTCTATAGGAGACTAGAAAGATCTGTTAAAACTCTACTATGGATACTCAAACCTAGAAAGAATTAATGTCCCACCTTGTAGTTTATAGAATTATAGAACAACCTTATCATTTTCATAAAAATCACAATTAGGCAGTTAAATTCACTGGTTGAACGCCTGCTGTGGTTCTTGTGCTGGAAGAGCATGCATGAACAGAACAGAACAAGTCCAGCCTCTGCTCCCAGGGTGCTCAGTTGGGGTGATGGAGTGGGTGGGAAGTGCTGGGGGCAGGTAAGGAGGGCAGGCAGTCAGGGCACAGGTTATCTCAGAAAGTGTAAGTGATATTGGACGAAAGTCAAGCGAGGTGATGGGCAGGGCATGGGGCTGTGGGGAACAGCCCAGGAGAGCACTCAGAGGGAACCACATCCGCTGAACCTAAAACCATAGGAAAAGCCTGTCTCGCGGACACTTGCAGACAGGGCAGCCCGGCAGAAGCAGCAGCAAGTACAGCAGCCCTGGGGTAGAGTGGGGTCCATCCCCCTGTGTGACTGCACGGAGAGATCATGGGACAGCCCATTGGTCATCGGGAGAATGAGAGCCTGGAGCAGCTAAGCACCTCCTACACGGCTCCCATCTCTCTAAATCACTGCCTAAGAGAGAACAAACGGCTCCCTGTTCAGGAAACACCCGGGCCCTCCCCCTCCAAACCCCTGGGCACAAATAACCACCCTTGAAAATGCGTACAGACATCCTTTAAAGTCTGATTTGCTAATTTGTGTAAAGGCATTGAAAATGATAGGTGATAAAGTAGCTATTCAGAATCCAGGTTTTATTCCTTATTTTTGATGTTTATCTGTTGTTTTTTTTAAATTCATACAGATGCTCCTTGACTTATGGTGGAATTGTGTGCCAATAACCTCACTGTAGGTGGAAAATACATTTGAGGCTGGGCATGGTGTGGCAAGTCTGTAATCCCAGCACTCAGGAGGTAGACACAGGAGGATCTTGGTTGGAGGCTAGCTTAGGCTGCATAATAAGACCCTGTCTCTCACACAGGCCACGTTTGATGCAGTTAGCTTCCGAAATGTCGTTGTCCAGCAACAGTATCTGTTGTTTAACCATGTTACTGTGGAGGGAACCGGGGCTCACTACCACCCGACATCAAGAGAGATACCATCTACTGCCAGTTCAGGAAAAGATCAAAATTCAAAGCGTAGTTTCTACTGAGTGCGTATCACTTTCCGACCATCGTAAGGTACAAAAAAAGAAACAAAAAAGTTGAGTCAAGCCATTATAACTCAGGGGCCATCTGGTAGTGCTGATGTAACATTTTAAAACAGGTTTTTAAATTGTCTCTTAAACTAGCATAAACTTTTATTTACCACATCATTATCAACTCAAGTAAATTAAAAAGAAAAAGAAAACCTTCCAAATGCGAACTGTTAAACTCAGGTATCCTTACTGACATTTTATTTTCTGTGGTAGATATTCCTTTAGTTGTTATTGTCTTTAAAATTTGGTACCTGTTTTTCTCACTGACTACTATATGATTAGAAAATTTTGAATTCTATACTATTTTCATAAACATCTTTTTAGTCACCAACATTCCAGGACGTTCTCATTTCCTTTGTCAAACAAATAGATTACTTCCACACAAATAGCAACGCTACAGTGTCTCTTACACGAGGCTAATCAAAACGGTGATTTTTGTCAGGTTAAGTTTCCAGAAATGGCATTCATGAATAAATGGGCATTTACAATCTCTTGACTCACTTAAAAGCCTTGTGCTTACATCAAGGACCTCATGGATCCACACACTGGGATGAGCAGTAGAGCAGATACCAACCCTGTCTTAAAGATAAAAACCAAAACCAAAAGACATGGAAAGAATTGACCAAGCAATTCCTCACATCGTAGGTCTAGAACCTACAATTTCCCAGACAACATCAAGCATTCTCACAAATCCATTTCATGACTTAGAAAAAAGAAAGAAACACTGAGGAAACCATATGTCGAACGTCACCTTGTCTTGAAGCATACTTAAATCTGAGTGTAGACTACAAATTCTCGGGACAGTAAGTGAGCTGCTGGAACGGAAGGCCAGGTCACCACAGCAGGGACAGGCCCTCTGAGCCTCCATTACTTTTATCTGCCAAACTTTGAGGACGAAGTGAAAAGAGAAACATCAATAGCGAGCCTAAAACTCTGTGATTTTAGCCACAGGGGAGTAGAGAAGATGTGGGGCAGGGAGGGTGACTCTGGTGAGACCTGAAACCTGTGACCCAGTGCCGACACTGACTGTTGAGCCAGCAGCACATAGGTGGTGAGATGTAATACAGAACAAGTCCAAGTGCACAGCTGAGCACCTGGTAGAATAGCTGAACTTCAAAAAGTATGCCAAAACCCTGTCAAGAATCTTGGCAAGAAATTTCCCAGAATTTGGGGTCCTTAGTACCTCAGAACATCTGATAACCCTTGAAAGCAGTGTATTTTCATACTTTGCATAAAGAAAAGGAGGCTTGGAGTGTGGCTGAACATCTACTCTGAGTTCAGAACTGCATCTGACTTGTGACTGTGACGGATGCCTAACGGGAGGGAGGGGACATGCACCTGAGCAGGTGAGGTCACAAGAATCAGAGGAAACCGGGCACACAGTGCAGTGACAGGTGTTTCCTGACATAATAGCTCATAAAACCACGCAGGAGCGATTCGTTCATATCACTGCAGTGACAAATATTTGTTCTTTTTAGAAGTAGGTTTCTAATTTTATCTTTACGTCACTAAAACATACTGTCTTAATGCTATCTGCTATGACCAGACTTAAAGTTTTTGACCTATAGGTCTATGTCATATACCTGTTTTAAAGAACCTGATTTTGCTATAAAAATTGGATATATTCATCACAGAGAAGTTATGAAAACTCTATAATTAAAAAGAAATTATCTGAATGCCATCATTAAGATATAATTCCTTAGTCTAGATCTTTCAAAACATTTCCATTGATTTGGGGCCAAGATTTGGACCTGTTAGATGGGGTAGAAGCAAATCTTCCTTTTCCTCCTCAGCTCGCCTGAGATTTTGAAGGCAGGGAGTGAGGGAATAGAAGAAAACCTTCTCCACACAAGACAAACTTTCTCCTTTCTGCTTTTCCTGAACAATGACAGTCCACCTTCATTATAGAAAGCATGAAGAAATTAAAAGCCCCCCATAATTTCATCACCCAAAGATAATCCATATTAGTGGGTGTGCATGGTTGGGAGCTTATGAAATTGTGATTATAATTTGTATAAAGCTTTCTCTTCTGAGTTTCTTAGTATATTGCCCTTATAGTGAGAACGTTCGCCCTTACCATTAAACACTTATTTTTCAAAAATATGATCTCATAGAGATCTACTTTGGTATCACATGAATATATAATGATATAATACACCCAACAAATCCTCTGCTGTAAGACACTATGTTTATTTCCAATGACATGCTACTTATATATATGTATATAGCATGTAAGTAAATAATATGCATGATTCTATAATATATAAATAAATTTAAAGCTATGTAGATATAAATAATATGCAGTCTATACATAACAAATTAGCAGCTCTATGCTACATAAGCAAAAAATTATGTGTGATAAAATACATATAAATCTTTGGCTGCTTTTTTGGTTATTTTCCTTGAAAAGTTGTGTAGGTGTAATTCCTGCACCAAACGCAGTCTCAACCTTGCATTTCCACTGCCTGACTCCACTCACACCAATCCCAGCCCTGACTCACAGAAAGTGCTTTTGAACAATGTGTACTAAGGGGCTTTAAGTCTGTATGTGCAAATAAAGCCTTCTAATTTATGGCTAATTTTACTTGCCTCAAGGGATAGAAAGCCTGTTTTAGGAAACCTATTCCGTGAAATCAAACTCCACCCCTCAACGCACCTGAACTCATTTAAAGCCTCCACTAGATCACTTGCCCTCCTTCGCAAGGGATGAGAGGCTGGAACACAGAGCCTCTTCAGAGGAAGCATCTGGCCTGACGTGCTGCCTAGTGAAATGATTCCAGTAACTCTTTGCCAAAGAAACCAGACAGCCTTTGGCTTGCACACTGGGTAAAGAACGTCAGTGACAAATAGTCTGTAAGGAAAATGGTCCTTCCATTATTTTTTTCTTTTAGAAAACAAAGCAATAATGTATATTCATTAGATTGCTTGTAGAAAAATAATCAAATCCAGATGAACAAATGAAAAAATTAATCTAGAAGTCTCCCTACTCAAAGATATATCATCTTAGATATATCTAAGCTTCATCTATGCAAATATGTCGCATTTTTTTTTCAAAAAGTGGAAAAATACCCTACACATGAATATTGTCCCCTGGTTTTACCTGAATGTATCTCCCAGACTACACCATAGACGTGTCAGCCTGCCTCTCCGTTTCAGGCTTATCTTGACAAGTATTACACAAAAAAAGGAAGTTACCAGGTTGGTGAGATGGTTGCAAGAGGCGGTAACTCCACAGTGAAGAAAATTAAGGAGCTACAAGCCTTCTTTGGCCTCCAAGTCACCGGGAAGTTGGACCGAAACACAATGGATGTGATCAAGAAACCACGCTGCGGAGTTCCTGATGTGGCCAACTATCGCCTCTTCCCAGGTGAACCCAAATGGAAAAAGAACACTCTGACATACAGGTAATGAGATCGAGTCTCTCCAAATTCAGAGAGAAACTCCCTCAATTTTTCTCTCTCTCTCTCAGTTTCCCACTCTCTCTCAATTTCTCTCTCTCGCAATCTCTCTCTCTCTCTCTCTCTCTCTCTCTCTCTCTCTCTCAATTTCTTTCTCTCTCCTTTTAAAAGTATCTCCCTTCTGATCTGTATAAAAATCATAACTCCCCACAACCTTAAGAAAGGATAAGAATTCTATAGATCCATTAAGTAATGAAAACTTGACAATGCAGTCTCAGGATTATGAAAATAATTATCCATCCTAGGCATTTCAGTCAAGTTTCCCAGCTAGAAACATCTCCTTAATCTTTTAAGTAAAAATAATCTAGTCTTAAGATTAATAACCTAACATCCCAACCAGTTTTCTTAAGATCATCTTCTCAACAAGATAAAACTCACTCATTATTATTTTTTCATTGATTCAAAAAATCATCTGCTGATGATTTATTAAGTATCTAGTACAGATATTCAATTTGGGGATACAAAAATATGCCTTCCAGACCTTAGGGAACTTACAGCACTTAGCTGGACGCAGACACGCAGAGAGCTGCAGCTCCCCATGAAGCGAGGGAACCCACAGGAAAAGCTGAAGGAGCACATGGAGGGATAGACCAAGTTATCCAGGGACCAGACAGTGACATGAGAGCTTATCTGAAGGCTAAGCCTCACCCCTGCCATCCTCTACCATTCAACTTCCCAACAGGAACCTTTGTCCTTCCTCCCTTAGTCCTGGGTATGGAGGCCAGAATTTTCTGCTCTAGCAGCCTGGACCCACTTCTGGGGTGAGTGCAAGATTCATTCACAGGTAAATCCCACCATGGCTCACACTTCAACCTGAAGATGGGCTGAAGGAAGGGGGCAGTGCCTGTATGTGTGGGCCTGGCACACGCCTTGTGGGTGCAACTTTCAAAAAGAGGTCCTCTTCTAGGCCTTGCAAATGTTAGGAGATTCCAAACAGAAAAGCACACCAAGAAAACAGCAGAGGGTGAAATGGCCCGCACTGTTGGACAACGTTCCAGTGCCTCCATGGCACACTGGTGTAGAGGGCACAGGAAGGGGAGGATGAGGAAACGAGGCTGGAGAGGCAGTCTGAACAGCTGCAAGGTGATATTAAGGAACTTGGTCCTTATCTCCAGCAGTGAGAGCCAGACCAGGACTGGGATCAGGATGGGGATCAGATTGCATTCTTAGGGTGAGCACATCTGGACAGTATCTGGAGATAAGCAGGTCAGGACTGTTGCAGTAGTTCAAGCATTGGTGTGCCACTAACAACTCATAAGACCCAATCTTTACAAGGTCAGGAATTTTGGAACCACTTGTTAATGTCTCAAAAAACTTTGTGTGCTAGTTGCTAAGATAAAATGATTATTAAACTATGTAAATTTGCAATTAAATTATATTTAAAAACAAAGGTAATCAAAACATAGCACTTTCTATTTTACTGCCTTATTATCACCTATTCACCTAGGTGCGAATTTTATCTGTGTGGTGGAAGCTTTACTTTACATCAGTGCCCTCCTGCTCGCCTCCTCCCAGTGCCTCGTTAGTGAAGGCAAATTGGTACTAGCCACACGGAAATCACAGGACCATACAAACCCGAAGAGATTTATTTTCCCCAGTTGTTAAACTGTTCCACACTTAGTGATCAAACACAGCAAATGTATTACCTGCTGTGAGCCTAAAGAGCCATAAGGTGGCGCTCTGAGCACAAACGTCAAAGCAACGGGCCGGGTGGGAGGGGCTTAAGGAGTTAACACACAAGTCACTGAAGTAACTGGAGTAAGACAAGAAGAATGAATGTAAATTCATGGAATTTTTTCAGTTTTCTTCCATTGTGTCCTAGGAGTTTAGTCTGTGACTGTGCACAGTAACAAGGGGCATGGATCAAGACAGCATGGCAGTGGGAGAAGTGTAATATTCTATGACAAATCCAGCAATCCTGAGACCCCTCAACACATACTGCCCATCCATTCATGCTCTCAAACAAACCCCCTGGGCCCTCCCCAGCCCCCAGTAAAAGACAGCATTCCGCATAGCTCATGGATCCCAAAATAACTTCTTGTAACAAATACCGATGATTAAAAAAGAAAAACACCCAGCGTACTGTTTATGTGCATAAGCTTTGAAGTCAGACAGAACTGGACTCAAATCCTGACTAATCACAAAGTGTAGGTGATGATGGGGATCATTACCTACCTCTTGCGGGTCGTTGGGAGACTTAGATAACACATCACAGTGAAAAGTGCTTACAGCCCTGTCTAGCACAGAGCTTGTCTTCAAAGACTATTAGTTAAGATTACTATTGCTTTTTCAAACGACAGACCCTGGTCAGGATTTTCTCTGCGTTCTCTTCTTTTCTGTTGCTATCCTTTTCTCTGCCCTTTTCTGTCCAACTCAACACACATAACCAGCTCAAGGATACAGCTGACGTACCTATAATGGGGAATTTCAAGGTACAATTATACAAAGTTGAGATAAATCAGAAATTTGTATTGCAAAGTGAGCGTGGCATATTTTGAAAGCCTTAAATCATCCTTTAAAGGGCCCTTCCCCCTTTAATACTGTACCTCCCTTCTTTTAGCCCCAACCCCTGCTGTTAAAGAGCTCCTTGTTTATTTTCCCCAAGACCTGGATTGAGCTATTCACCATCCTTTTTTGGGGAACACGGTCCTTTCTTTTGAGATCCCAGGATTACCACTGTTGGTCTCCTGCTGAAACAAATCACCTGCCTCAGAATAACCTAGGATGCTTGCTATAATGCACATTTCTGGATCACACCTACATTTAACAAGCTTCCCAAATAGTTACCACAGGTTGTAAAGTTTGACATCCATCAGCAGTCCTCAAACAGTTAGATTTCATTCCTGAGTTCATCACGCATATCCTGAGCACCTACTGTGGACAAGACTGGAGTAGGAGCTAGAAAAAGAGAATGCAGGTTTGGCTTCTGCTCGCAAGGCTCATTCCCACCAACCTTGCCACCATCATTCCAGTACAGCCCAAGGTTCCAGGAGGAAGTTCCTCTCCTGCCCTTCCTCTGTGGCTTCCAGAAACCCCAAACCCTGCACTTCAGATCAGAAAGCCCCAGAGGACCACCAACTCTGTTTCCATTATTTATCCCAAAAAGCAGTACATTTTTCTTCCTCCAGATGTCCTTGTCACACCAGGACTTGCTGAAAGGCTCAAGCCTTTTCCTGTCCCAGTGAGCATCTTTTTTCAGGGTAGCACTTCCTCTTTAAGACAGCATTATTTTAAGAGAAAAACATTCCCCAGCAGTTCTGGGGAAATTCTGCTGGCCTTGGAATGAGAATTAGTGATGCCTCAAAACTACAAGTTTGTATGTTTTTAATAATTGAAAATGTTCCATCCCTTTCAGGGAAAAAGGGGCCTTCTTTAATTAAAACCACCTTCAGGATGACAAACTTCTTACTAATTGAACATGACACAATATTATTGCTTAAAATTAACCATAGTGTAAAAACAAAAGCCACACTGTTTCAGAACATCTCAACTGTCCTCATTCTCCCTCCGTGTGTCTTGATGTGTAACATGCAGTCACTTAACATCTATAAAAGCAATGTAAGAATTATTGTTTCTGAGAAAACAAAGCCAAAATGTAGCGTACATTCCACGTCTTAGTTTTTTGTAAAGCTTGCCTTCTTTGTTTAGATCAATTGCTGAGAGGAAAACCTGTGCCTTTTCTTTTCAGAGTATCCAAGTACACCTCGTCCATGAGCCCTGTGGAGGTGGACAGAGCAGTAGAGATGGCCTTGCAGGCCTGGAGTAGTGCTGTCCCGCTGAGCTTTGTGAGAACAAACTCTGGAGAAGCGGATATCATGATATCTTTTGAAACTGGAGGTACTGTCTACTAGAGCAAAGCAGAACTGTTCCAGTACTGCCATATCTAACCCAAGTGACCATCGCAGTCCTCCATCACACAGTGTGGAGATGGGCACTGAGACCATGGCCAAGACCATAGCAAACTCATGATCTTCCGTCCAGGAAATAGAAACAAGGCAGTTCTTTGTAGTTCTCATCATCAAAACACAGTAGACTCCCTGAGACAAGTTTTCATTATGGCTTTGTCCCATTAGGGGACAAATTCTGTCAGCTTTAGCTTTGCTGTTGGCTAAGAGGCCACCTGACCACATCCTTCCGCCATAATTTCCATCACTATTGTTCCCTTCTGTGTTAGCCAAGAGTCTCCCACTTTGTCCCTCACTGAAGGAAATCGATTCCACAGAGACCCGGATGCAGCATTCCACCCTGCAGCCATGGTTAGGAGTGGCTTGAGTGCGAGTTGACCACTGCTCCACCACCACCCACCCTCTCAGCCTGGGAAGGACGTAGGGCACGAGGGGCACAGGGACTGGTGAAGAGCTCTGAGCCCTTCTCAGAGAAATGTGCAGGAAGTAGATAAAAGGAGGGCCAAATGGCCAGTGAGATTCCCCTCCCTTCCCAGCTCCCTGACAGTCCAAGGTAAGTGATGACCATTGCTCTTCCCCTCCACAGATAAGGTTTCTAAGTGTCCTTGACATTTCAAGTTCTGACCTCATGTCACTGGGGAAAGCATGCTTAGGAGCTCAGGCGAGAGAACATCAAGCAAGTCCTGAGTTTAAACCCTTTAAAAATGTCCCAAGCATAACCTGGCCCTTCACAGGTCCTGCTCCTCCCAAAAGACCCAAACCACTTGGAGAAACAGCAGGGCAGTGAACTCGAGGCAGCTTTGGGGGCCGTGGAGTTAATGTGTGGCTCTGTCTTGATCTTTCAAGCTGGTGTCTTGTCCCCTTACACAAAGGCTGACCTGGGAGCCGGCTGCCTTTGCATTAAGTCCTGGGAACACTCAGCCTGATCAAATTACATTGATGTCATATTGAACGTCCCCGTCCCTCTGCTGGCCTTTAAAGAAACAGGGTAGCCTCACCAAGATTCGGAAAAGTTGAGAAATGTAGCTTCTGCTATGTCCCTCATTTCGTTCTTCCCCCTGCTCTGTTAAGTTCATAATGAACGGTTAAATATTAATAGTAAAACAAAGTGTGTAAAGCTTTCATGGCTAGGATTTTCACAAATGCTTTTATTGCTTTCGTGAGAGAAATTGCCTGTTTTTATTTTGACACTTCGGTAAATTGAATTCTATTGTACAATGAAACAGAAGCACACCTTGTTCAGTTTACTAAGACCCTCTCAGCTTAATGGTCCTTCAGAAACTCATTCTGCCAACAGATTCACATTCCAATCAGTGGACCAGGTTGCTACCAAATGTCCCTCTGTTCTTTCTCCTTTGTCATCTATGGCATGTGTATAGTACACAGCATTCTGTGTCACAATGAAAACCATAACCGTAAAAGCATTTTTTATTTTTAATGCTGTCTTTAAAGAACAAATAGTTCTCTCAATAGTATGAGCTTCTTATTATAAAAAAAACAAATACCATAGAGCAAACTTAAATGTCCTGGCTATTCAGAATGTCCCTTCTCTGTGCCCCACAGAGTGGCCAGGACTTAATCCTGTTGGTGTTTCCTGTTGCTTAGATCACGGAGATTCCTATCCATTTGATGGGCCTCGGGGGACCCTCGCCCACGCATTTGCCCCAGGAGAAGGCTTGGGAGGAGACACGCATTTCGACAATGCTGAGAAGTGGACTTTGGGGACGAATGGTATATATATGCACAATTCACCATAACCTGGAAAATATTGTACCTTCTTCTGGGCCTCCAGCATGAAACCTTGAGGTTCAACGTCCCAAGCCACCCTTTAACTAGGGGGGCTGTCTAGGAAAAACAAGTAAGCCAAAAATCCAAAAGGGAACACCATAAGGGAAAAGAACCCCGAGATTATGCTGTAGACTTGTCTGATCTCTGTTTTATAGCAGCCCCGTCCCCAACACACAGCTCTCTTTTTCTTCAATTATATAGTATTTATTTCTTACCTGTATTTGGAAATAGGCCACATTCCAAATGGCGCAGGCGAGTTAGTGCTCTCCTGAGAAGTGTGATGGGGGAGGATAAGATTCCAGCATACCAGGCAGTCCTCTGGAACTCTTCATTATGAAATGTGGAGATAAAAAAGTAGTAGGCTATAAGAGCAGAAAAGTAGTGAAGCATTTGTGGTGTAAATTTTTGTGTTATTACAAATTTCATTGCCACTAACTCCAAGACCCTTCTGTATCAACCAAGTGTCCACTGACAATGAGCAAAATGGATTGGTTTACATTCTATTCCTTCCCCACTCAACAAGTTGGAAAGAAGTAGAGGAAAGTCAGCCAGGCTATGTGTCAGAATAGCCCACCAACCTCTGAATAACCCAGTTGTAAAAAGGAGATGAGTAAACTGTAATTTGGGCAAAAATTCTCCTGTGAAGAAAGACAGAAGAGTCCTGGTGATCACTGTGTTTAAAAGACGAAGAGAAAGAAAAGGAAAACCTGTGTTGATTCTGCTGTTCTCTCTCATGTTGTTTAGGTTTCAATTTATTTACCGTTGCTGCTCATGAATTTGGCCATGCCCTAGGCCTGGCACATTCCACAGACCCAACAGCACTGATGTACCCAACTTACAAGTACCAGAATCCATACGGATTTCGCCTCCCCAAGGATGACGTGAGGGATCCAGGCATTGTATGTGTGATCATTACCCTTCTTGGACCACTAAGCCTAAAAGTGATAAGTATTTAGTCCCCAAGTTTGAGAAAGTGCATTTTGCAGGAGTTACCTGCATAGGTAAAAGTTAAGCTAGAGACCACAGCTCCAACGATGTCATTTCATGAAGAGATGATCTGCCAGTTATGAACAGGGCTTTCTTTTCTAAGATTTTGTGTCTTTCCTCCTGAACCATAGAAAATAGACATTTGTCTAATTTTCTAGTACAAGTCAAAATATAAATTGGGAGAATGGTTTATTCATATGTCAGGTGCTTGCCAATTTAGATAAGTGACCTTATCTCCCTAAAAATAGCAATGGTGATAATAACTCCATTGCCAGGAGTGTTAGACAATCTGCAATTTACAAAACATGTTCACATGTGTCACTTCATGCCATCCTGACAAGCCTGTAGGGTGCCATGTGTTTTCCTCATTTGATAACTGAGAAAGCTGAAGGTCAAAGACAAGAAGTATCCTAAGTTATTCAAAATTATCTCAGGTGTTAATGTACTTTCAAAAGATAATAGAAACCCTATATCCAATTTTTGTTAAGGGAAAACAAATCCATAGAAGGAGAAGGGATCTTGAAACACCCTCAAAACTGGACATTTTTTTCTTTAGGAATAAAAAGAAAATTTTAAGGCTCTGATTTTTCTTAGTTATTGGAGACCTGGTTATTTGGCCTCTGAGACCAGAGTGTCTTCATCCTGCTATCCCAAAGTGCCTGTAGAGCCAGGTCCTCCAGGTTTCCTGCATGTTGGGAGACCCACCCCACTAACTAGAAGGGGGTATGGGCAAAATCACTGGAGGCCAAAAGGACAGATTGTATCCAAAGAAGTCGCCAGCTTGATTTCCGGAGTGGTCCCATGGGTGGGACCATCTCCATCTTATAAACTCGGCCCCGGAGCACCTCGCCACTCTCCAACATGAAACCATTGTCAGGGCCACCACGAAGGGTACAGCCCACATACTTGCTTCATAAATGTTTGTGCGCCACAGAGACACCCCAATCCTGCCACTCACTGTCACGCCGCCAGAGGCCAAAGCACAAAGTTGACCTGGTCATTTGTACCCAAGGGAACAAAATGTAAAAACACAGCTTTGTGTAGCCACGGAGCAGACAAATCTCCCATTCCAGCCATTTTGTCATCTCTGACCATCACTGTGTTTCTCATCTTCTCTCAAAGACTGCTGACCTTTCCTATGCCTGATCTCAGGTGTGCCATCTCTGTCCCTTATCACGCATCCCTCCAGTGCCTGCTTCTCTGATCCTCACCTTCCACTACAACAGGCTTCATCAAAGAGCAGGGTGTGCTGAGGACAATGTCGAGGACCACCCTTTCTTCAGTAGTGGCCAAGAGTCCTCAGAGGTGCAGGCGAGAGGTTAGAACTCACCATAGCTCTCCCACAAGCAGATCCTGTTTCACAGGCAGAGCCCCCAGAAGATACCTGAAACAGTGAACTTCTTCAGGGTACTTCATACAAATTCCCTTAGTCTTCCCTGGCACAGAGTAAAAGACTTAAGCATAGTACTGGATGCCAAGAAGTAAACAAAAGAAACAAGGAGAGCACATAGAAAAGTTTTAAACTTAATGAGAAAAAAGAGTCTAATTACAAAGAGATCATTAAGGGCAATTTTAGAATTATATTTCTACTTTGAAACATCTGTCAAAGAAGTTATATGTAGCAATAAAATAATGGCAACCATTTTTTAATCATCTACTACATGTCAAGCACTTCTGGTAAGCACTTTATAGGCACTATCTAATTCTCACAGCATCATGGGAGGTAGGGCCTACTTTTGTCACCCCCATTTTACAACTAAACAAGCTGAAACTTTAAAAAGTTATTTGCTGGCTGAGCGCGGTGGCTCACACCTGTAATCCCAGATACTCAGGAGGTAGAGGTCAGGAGGATAGTGGTTTAAGGCCAGCCAACAGGAAAAAAGTTAGCAAAATTCCATTTCAACAAACAAGCAGGGCCTGGTAGTTACACCTGTAACTTCAGCTACATGGAAGAAATACATAGGAGAATCACAGTCCAAGGCCAGCACAGGCAAAAACCCAAACCCTATTTGTAAAATAACTTTAAACAGTAAGGGCTGAGGGTGTGACTCAAGTGGTAGAGTGCCTGACTAGCAAGCACGAGACCCTAAGTTCAAACCCCAGTACCACCAAAACAAGAAAAAGTAGTTTGCTTCATGTCACACAACTCAGCAATTAAGGGCGCCAGCATTCAAACCCAGGTCCAGGTGGGAGGCATGGTTCAAACAGTAGAACACATGCCTAGCAGACACAAAGCTCTGAGTTCAAATCCCTGTACTGCCAACCCCAGGTCTACCTGCCATTGACAGCCCATTCTTTATACACAGAGCTCTTTATATAGCTGCCTTGGTTCCCCAGAGCCCAAGCATACAGACTCTCATTCCTGGTGCCATTTTGATCATGACACTTTGAATCTAGGACCTCGGAAACCATTCCTGGGCAAACCCACTGCGCCCCACAGTCCCCCACACAAGCCATCCATCCCTGATCTCTGTGATTCCAGCTCATCCTTTGATGCCGTGACAATGCTGGGAAAGGAGCTTCTGTTCTTCAAGGACCGGTAAGCCTGAGACACCGAGACACACCTCTGCTTAAGTCAGGCCTCTGATCACCTCCTGCCTAGCCTCGTTCCACAGGGTCCTCTTGCTGCCAAGAATGCCACGCACAAATGTTGTTCTGAGTGGTAGTAGGGTGGCAGTAGGAGTCTCAGAGAGATGCAGAACAGCAATGCTGCTGTTCATAGAGCATCTGATGTGGTCTTGGGGCTTTTCTAAGGGCTTTCTATACATGTACAGCATTTCTTCCAACCCTTTTCATTGTAGAGATTACAATCTTCAATTTATAGACTGGGTGCAATGGCTCACGCCTGAAATCCCAGCTACTCAGGAGGTAGACATTCAGAGGTTTGCAGTTGGAGGCCCACACTTGGAAACACTGTGACAGTGCACATCTGTGATCCAAGCTACACCAGAAGCAGAGATAGGAGGATCGAGGTTTGAGGCCAACCCCAGCAAAAATGAAAGACCCTACCTGAAAAATAATTAAAGCAAAAAAGCAATAGGGGCATGGCTCAAGTGTTAGAGTGCTTACCTAGCAAGCACAAGACCCTGAGTTCAAATCCCATTATCACCTCCCCCCTAAAAATAATCTCCAATTTAGAAATGAAGAAAGTCAAAGAAAGCATGTAAATTTCCCCAGGCAACAGTTAAGTGACTGAACAAGGACACTAGCCCAAATTTATCTGATATCTGTTTTGTTTCCTACTGTGTGCCTAGTAACTATTTGGTGAATGAGTGTTAGCTAGCTAGACAGATGGGGATGAAAGGATGAATGGATGGATGGATAATGGGTGAGTGGATGAATGGATAATGGATGGGTGGATGGAGGGATGATGGGTGGGTGGATGAATGAATAGATGGATAATGAGTAAGTGGGTGGATGGTTGAATAATGGGTAGGTGGATGGTTGGATAGAAAATGGGTGAGTAGATGGATGGATAGATAATGGGTGAGTGGATGGATGGATGAATAATGGATGGGTGGATGGATGGATGGATAATGAGTAGATGGGTGCATGAATGGGTGGATGGATAAGGGAGAGGAGGGAGAGAGAGACAGAAAGGGGAGGGAGAGAGAGAAGGGAGAGAGGGGACAGAGGGACAGAAGAAGAAAAGGAAGAGAACGTTTGCTGCTGCCTCTTTTTATAAGGGCACCAAATCCCATTATGAAGGCCTCACCCTCATGGCGTCGCCTGTATGCAGTTATCTCCCACAGGTCTGTCTCCAATGCCACTGCACTGGGGGTTAGAGCTTTAATATACGAATTGGGCGGGGGACACAAACGCTCAATTCATAGCACAGAGTGGTCACATTGTTACCCGTGCTGTTGTGCATCCTTCCAGACCTTTCCCTCTGGATTGACAGATATGTTTTGTAAATATGGGAGGAGAACAAGGTTTTCACAAAGTGAGATTTTACTAGTTGCAGTGACTCACAAACATTATTTGATTTTTTTCCATGCCAATGAATTTGTATTTTAATCTTTTATATATTATTTATTATTCCAGTGAACCAATTGCTCATTTAACCAATCCCCTACTTATGACCATCTAGATTGTTTCCAACTTTTAAAAATCAGCAACAACTTGTACAAAATCGCCAACAATGGAAATTTACTTTTCAAAGACAGTTAGAACAGAGCAGGACCCCAGTGTCCCCATTAGACCAGCTCTCCCTCTTACTGACGAGGTGATCCAGGCATGCTCAATAAATGGCAGTTGCTGTTTTTAAGAGTAGGAATCAAAAAAAAAAAAACTATATACAATGGCACGAAGGCTAAGAAGCAACTTGAGGTATTTAGAGAACCAGATTTATTTCTTTTTTATTATTTATTATATTTATTTTGTGATTTCATATTTTTAAGACTTATTCATGAATGATGTTGAATGATGTCATTTCTGCTGACTATTACTGTGAACCTAAAGTAGCAACAGACAGAAAGGCTCTCTGAAGAACTGAGTGTATTTGGGTGTGAGCAGAACCCGTGTGCTACGGTACATCACAGGTGCACTGAGGAGGTTGGGGCGAAGGGAACCTTTAAAGACAGAAAGGAGATGTTCGCTCAGCTGTCCTGAAACAAAGTTTGTTAGCTACAGACGTTCATCGCAGGTGCCAGGGAGCAATCGTAGATGACACAGATTATTGCAATGTCTTCATAGAAGCGATTTACACGCACTTTTGTTGTGCTGTCAGAGACTTCCTTCTTAGAGTAGTCTGTCTGTGTCACCCAGGCCAGACTTGAGCTCCTGAGCTCAAGTGATCTTGAGCTTGCAAGCATGCACATCTCACCTGGTCTTGCTGTGCTTATCCCAAACGTGGGAGCACATGATCCCTCCCTGAGGACCTCCCTGCTCTGGGTTGGTTTGCATCTAACATAATAATGTAAATGAGTCTGTCCTGGCCTTGGCAGCTGTCACTGTACCAAAAAGGAAGGTGAAGCGAGTTGGTGGACAGTGGCCCGGGGTGATGGGCGAGCTGCTGGGCAGGAATACGGGGAGAAGAAACATGGGCTTCACCAGAAGGATAGTGCTAACCGAGTGCCCACTGCCCAGATACTGATATGGCATGTGGCACTCGTCCAGTGACAACAAAGTGAGGTGCTGGCCACAGTGAAGAGTGCAGCTCAGGGGTTGTGGTAGGCCAAAAGGGACTGCGAAGTCAGAAATATGACACCCTCTCAAATATTCAATTATAATTACTTTCTTTTTCCTTTTTCACTAGTATACATTAATAGTACAGGGGGTGTTTAATTGTATAATTGTTTTCTTTAAAAAGAAAAACTGAACCAAAAAAATCCTGTTTATTAAACCGTGAACATTTAGCAATTATAAGTGACTATTTGAAGAGATGATGCATGTTTTGACACAGTCATGATTATGAATGCTGAGGCTATAGCAGGATAGGAAGGAGGAATCAGTGCAAGAGACAGCTAGACATGAATGATCAGGAAGACTAGAGAAGGGAGGATGGCTGGCCAAGGACGTGCTGAGCTGTGAAGGTGGGGCAGGCAATTCTAGAGAACTAGGAAGAGCTGTAAGGAGGGCAGGAATCAGCAGTAGATTTGCCTTTAAGGCACCTTGGACCTGCATCCTCTCATTCATCTCTGCAAAACCTGGGTGTTTTCTCCTAATGGTGACTACAATGTGTTCTGTACTTACTATGCTAATCACCTTGTTATCAAATTCTTATAATAACCTTGCTAGCGATGAAGTATTGTGGTCCTTTTACCGGACGTAGAAAAGATAAGCAACTTGTTCAGGAGTGCACAGCTAGGGAGAGGTGATGGTGGAGTGAAAACTGATGCTGCCACTCTCCAGAGCCTGCTCATAATGACCCTGCACACTGCCTCCCTCGGTGCCAACAGAGCTGGCACTTGGTGACTGTATAGCTCTGGTCCCCTACCAACTGCCACCAAGAGTCTCAAAGTATGAAAGAGTTCTCATCTACTAGCTCCCTCTCATCAGCCTGGAACTCCCCGTCACCAACAATAACCTGATCATGGGACATTTTCAGCTGTGAAGTAAGAGCCACACGGTTTGTTTCCAAAACAAGATGGAATGCAGTGCTTTTTGAAGTACCCGAGAGATTGCTAGGTATTCTGTACAGTGTATGCATGTACACTTGGGTATTCGCTTAAAAAGAACTAAACTTCAGTTATAATAAGTACACATACATACACATATATATTTGCAAATACATTTACTCTTCATAATAACTAAGCAAACAGTAAGGCTATTTCAGACTTCCTTTGCCACTTAGGAAAGAGACAAGACAAATGATTAGATAGGCAGATGTACTAAAATTAAATTAGCACCTTTCAGACTATTTGGGGCTTTTGTTGTTATTTTTGTTTTGGTTTTGATTTTGTAAGACAGGGGCTTGCTATATAGCCCAAGTTGGCCTTGAACTTGCCATCTTCCCGCCTCAGCCTCCCAAGTACTGGAATTATAAGCATGAACCACTCCACCCAGCTAGAAGTTTTATACAATATTAGGGATAAAATCAATAATATCAAAATCAGGGATGGTGGAGTAGCTCACATGGTAGAGTGCCTGCCTAAAAAGTGTGAAGCCCTGAGTTCAAGCCCCAGTGCGACAAAAAAAATACTGAAATCAGCTACAGATCTTAGAAGAATAGCAGACTTTACAAATGGAGGAGGCATACAGGTTGCCCGTGTCCAAATCTTGTATTTTAAAGAAGAGGAAACGAGTTGCAGGTTGCATTGTCCAGCCCCAGGGACTGTCCACAGCAGGTCTGGTCTTCTGACCCCTAATCACAGTGTTGTCCTGTCACTTATATTGGAACTCATTGGCTATGACATGGAACACCAAGAAAGCTCTGAGTTTTGGCTCGAATGAACTCTTGCTCTTTGACTGTTACACATTTGAGTTCATAGGAAAAGCATGTCAGGCTGTTCCCAGATCATCTGCTTGCAGGTTGGGTAAACCAGCCATGAGGAGGAGGAATTTTTCCCTCAAAAATAAGATTCTTGGCCAGACACAGTTACTCATGCCTGTAATCCCAGTATTCAGGAGGTGGAGATAGGGAGTTTCATGGTTTGAGGCCAACCAAAGCAAAAAAGTCAGCAAGGCCTCATCTAACCAATAACTGGACATGGTGGTGTGTACTTGTCACCCCAGCTACCCAAGGAAGTAGAGATAGGACTGTAGTCCAGGCCAGCCCAGGCATAAACATGAGACCTTATTCAACAAAACACCCAAAGCATAAAGGACTGGGTGTGGCTCAAGTGGTAGAGTGCCCAAGCATGAGGCCATGAGTACTGAAGAAAAAAACAAAAGAAGAAATAAGAATCTTTATTAAAAAAAAAAAACTGTCGCTCACTAACTCACATTTTAAGAGACGTTATGTGTCTTAGATTACAATGCAAAGAAAAACATTTTGGGGGTTAATGTTTTTAAGTAGGACTTAGAAGGATGAAGTAGCAGGCATTCTGAAGGACTCGCCAGTGGGATGGACAGTAATTTGGTGAGGAGAACAATGGA